TATATTAATCCTCATAAAATAAACTTTCTTGGCAATCTTATTTGAAATCGCATTGAGCGTTCTTTCTAGCTTGTCATGCAATCTTTATTTGAGCAAAAGCGATTCGAGACCGTTAAACGAGATTTTAAAAAAGGAAAAGTCCGTCTTTGTAGAATGGAGTTCTCTTTAATCTATTTCGTGTATTTTGGAATGAAATTCATTTCTTTAGATTTAATGTATCGATCTCTAGCGTTTCTTAAAGACATTAAAAATAGTTTGATTATGCTATTTTTACCTTTTAACATCTGTAATTCATTCTATTTATTACCAAAATCCAAAGTTTTAACTTTCGGCAGCAACTAATGCATCATTGTAATTAACTTCTTTCGTCATCTAAAAGAAAGAAAATATAATAGTTGTGATATATAATACTTTCTTACACATAAAATTATGAAAAAGTAAAAGGCTCTTTAATAAGATATAATTTTATACCACATATAGTTCTCTTTTAATTGGCAGCGATTGTATGACAAAACGTGTATCCAATGAAATAGAGAATTGGTTCTGTTTTTCCGTGAATTTCTCATTTTGTGCAACAAACTTCTACTTTCCGTGTTGCTTCGCTTTATTTACAGAATTGTTTAAATCGCTCCGCTGCACGTATCGTTCATTTATCATATTATTCATTTCACTGTGTTGTTTTCTTGTATTATTACCGTTATTTTAGCACGTGAAAATAACATATTGTAAACATACTACATGTATATATTATTATTATTAATTTACTTTATCTATGCATGAAGATCATATTCATGATTTTATTGAATACGGTTTAAATGTAATTTATTGAGTATTATTCACGCTTATAATCATGTGCTATATATATATATGTATTACATGATATTTATTACCAAAATCATTTCGCAGATGATTGTTTTGACTTTCATATGAGCAACTGCGTATTGTGCATATTGTGGATCGTTAATGAGCGTGTAGGTATGTAAATATGAAGTATAGAACACTGTTCACAACACTAAGGGCCTCTTTCACCAACTCTGATTAACGCTAACGTCGATGTTTAACCCAATCATCGCTGTTGCCAATGTGAGAACAAACTAAACATAGTTTGTTTCAGAAGAGGAAGAGAGAAAGTTTTGATACATTGAACTGCTGTTGGTACTTTTACGAATTAGGCTTGATTTTCCATTTCTAGAATTGAAAAGAAATGTGGAGTAAATTGAACCTCGATTAAAAAATTAACCGCGAATTGTGAAACCGGGTTTTAATCGTCGATTAACTTAACCAAAGGTTGGTGAAAGAGACTAATGCTCAATTTCTCCATGTATTAACTAATGTCGGTTCATCTTATTCTTTATTTTTTTTAATTCTAAGAATTAGAAAAAGATAAACGGTTAGTTAAACCAAGATTAAAGTTAATGTTATGTAACTTACATTGATAGAATTGGGCCTAAGACTGTTTTCAGACTTGACTTACTTCAGACGTGCCATCTTAGACGTGTTTGCAACGAGAAACTCCCTTTCGTGATACATCAGACGCACGCGTTAATTATGGAAATGTGTAGAACGTGTATCATAACCCGCAATCATTTTCCGATATATGGTATTTCCCGAATACATTTCACAGAAAGTTGTAGCTGTATTTGTAACATACAGAAATGTAAAAATACTAACTAAAATTGAGAGTTATGCATTTTTTTTATTAATTATAATCGGAAATTGTTAACGCTTTAGGTTGATAATTAAAAATATTACTTTTGACGCTAATTTTACGTATCGTTATTAAAATGTTCTGTTGTTTTACTGTGTTGAAAGAAACTGTACCTCGGTTTTTTAAATTTATTCATTTTTATTTTTTAATTTATTCTTATTTTATTATTTTTTAATTATAAGTTTATGTATAACGACAAATAACGTATATTGCACTATTCTTGATGCTGCTTTACATAAAACTCCTATTTAAAAGTCCTGAAATGAATGAAATTTTATTTTGTATAAAATGATATTATTTTTTGTATCTAAATCAATATTTTGAGAAAAACATTTTATGTATTTCGCACGAGTTATTTCTCGTACACGTAATGACTAACTCTCGTAGTAACTAAAAATATACTACAAATGTCAAATAGAATTTAAAAAAACAGATATTCTAAAACTCGAAGAGAAAAGGATTCATATGTGCCTTATATAATTTTATTCGACGTTTGAAGCAATTGCTAGAGGAATATAATACATTAGTTTTTCCTTTTTTAAAATGATGTTAATGATCTCTTATGCGTCGAGTAAAATATAGCGCAATTTTAACGTCATACTTTGTAACGAAATACTCAGATAAACAGATATTTTTCACAATGATGAATATTATTTACGAGACTTGTAAATTATGCATTCTAAGATTAAATAAGTTTACAAAACTCGGCGAAGCTACATTGAATCTCGATTAAAATGAATTTCCGACACATCGCGACTTCGCGAAACGTAGCCGGGCGTGGATGAGAAAAGTAAGTTATGCCGAAATATTAATCTATATGCCAATATTTACGACGGCCGAACGCGCCGCGAATAACCTCGATAAATTCACTCGGACAAGTCTCTGTTCTCCGCTCGTGCGTATCGTATATCATTAATTACGTAATAAGGATACTTTGATTAACTCGAAGAACAGAGCGTTTTCAAAATCAAATTATCAGTGGCATCTCTATTATATAGACAATTTAGAGATTTCTACATATAGATGGAATTTATTTTTTAATCGCCATTCTTCGCGATCTATTTTTAAGAAATTTTATTCACACAAATTATATTTGCTTAGACGTCTATTTAGAAAGATAAAAGCAATGAAACCGAAATGGTTTCGATGAATTAAATTTTCCATACAATAGACGCAAAAAGTATTCCACTCTTCTCAATTATTGCTCTTTTATCGCTGTTTATAAATGAAATGCTCGCCGCATGGTTCGTATTAATAAAGACTTATTTTGAGAAAGATTTATATCATCTTTTAGTAATTTTATTTTCTATTTATTGGGAGATAATAAGAAAATAATCTATGTATCTTTGTGAGTTTTAATATAAAGCTTTGCTATGAATTCAAAACTGTACTACATTCTTGTTTTTGCATATTATAATACTGTTACGGTGACAGCTTTTATATAAAGATTTTTGCGTGTTTATGACATCGAGATTTAAGCTGGTTGAAATTACGTCGGCTTCAACAATTGCTGTCGCGTCGAGAAGTGATCTCATTGAGGTCGACACGGGGATTTCAGTGAGTTTCAACTGCTGGCATAAAATTATCGTCCGCGCGTCGATCAAAGTAGCTGGTTGCGACAGATCGTCGTGATTTTGTTTGTCGGACAATACGTTTGTAGCAGCTTTTATCCTTTGAAAAAGCCTGAGTGAAGTCTCTCGTCGGTTTAAATGGCATTCCGCGCCCTCAGAAAAGCCCTGTACGACATGCACGACCGATTTTTCCATTCGTCTTTCCATCGCTCAGTGCATTTGAGCGAATCTCTTCTTCAACTGTGTGTCCGCAAACATTACACACTTCAAGAACTTCTACAAGACTGTTGGTAAACCATGAATATCATTCTCCATCCGCTATATATTGCTGCAAATTATAATTCTTTTAAGCAAAATTACATAAAATTATAAAACCTAAATCGTAAAATTAGGGATTTTAGACAAAACGTCTAAAATCGGTAATTTTATAGAATTTATAAGCAACAAATAAGGAAACAGAAAAAATTAATATTGCATCAATTAAGACAGTTAATTGATATTTTTACATCATGTTCTTGGATCTTCTAATAACTTTAACTCTTATGTTGGATAATCTTAATTGGCTGTACTTCCGAATAGGACACCCTTCCGATTGAGCTGAAACTTTACAGGTAATGTTGTTACAATATATAGTGATTATTTATGAATATCTTATCTTCGAGTTTTGTATAGTTTAAAAGATAAAAAAATAAGAAAGAAAAATTATGAAGATAAGTATGCTGATTGGAGAAGACTTTTCCGATAACTTTGACCTTGATATATGTTGTCAAAATCATGACTCTGAATAACCTACAAGAGTTTTTAGCCATCGCTCATTATTCGTTAAAAAATTATTAACAAAAAAGTTTAAAGAATAACGTCTTATTTTTGTTATACAATAAACAAATAGAAGGACTCTTTATACAAAAATAAAAATAATAAATAAAGGGCGAAGTAAGAGTCAATACATGTATTGACTCTTACTTCGCCCTTTATTTATTATTTTTATTTTTGTTATACAATATTAAGATCTCAACACTCTTTTTTCTCCTGCACACGACTTTCCACGCGAAGCGACTTTCACCCCACCTCCTCCCTACTTGGGAGTGCACGACTTTCACCGGAAGCGACTTCCACCCCATTATATCAGAAACGATATAATGTCAGAAACGAGATAAAACAGTATTTTTTTAAACTTCTTTTGTTAATAACTTTTTAACTAATGGCAATCGCCGGCTAAAATCTATTGGAGGTCTCAATATCATGACCTTGATAGCATACTTCAATTTCAAGATTATCGGCGGGGTTTAACCTTTTAGCAACAATTACCAATTTTTTTTATCTTTTAAACTACACAAAACCCGAAGGTAGGATTTTCATAAATAATCATTATACATCGTAACAATATTGTCTGTAAAATTTCAGCTCAATTGGATGGGTGTTCCATTCGGAAGAATACCCTCTTAATTTTTATTATTAAAATAGGGTAGACATATACAAAGATTCGAAATGTTTTTTTCTTATAACACATTTTTAAGGATAAGCTTAGTAGAAATTGAATACTAGTTCAATAATGGTTCATCTTTAATCGAGTCTTACATATAATATCAGAAGATCGCTTTATAAATTCTGTCGCACGTGTTTGGAATCTCTGCTATAATATCTAAATATTTTATGTCAAGAAGTTGTTTCTATTGATTAATAATAAAAATTCCTTGAACGTGAGGGATGTCCTAATTTTGTTGATATCAGTCGAAAAATGTTAAACTTTATTTAGGAGCTTTTAGTCTGAAAGCATACGAAGATCGGCGTTGATGGTGAATTCATATTGCGATCGTTACGTAAAATACCGAAGTAAAGAGATAACTAGCGATGCTATCGTTATTTTTCCATTACTACTGCCGACCTATTTGTCAACTATGAAATGAATCACGTTCTTCCGGCGATGTCTTCCGACGCCTTCCAAGAGATAGAACATTCCTCTGTCGCGTGTCTGTAATGCCATCGCTTCCTCCGGTAAATACACTTGATGGTAATGGCAAACGCTGTATGTATATCTCTCGGGAGGCAATTTTGTTGCTTCGACATACGAATCCAGCAGCAGAAATATAGTGCCGAATAAGTAAAAATAAAACGCAAACTGCAAAAGATCAATAACATTTTATTCCTATATCGCATTTTATTGCTATATCATACTTTGACTGGTGAAACAAATAAATCAGATCGTCGATTTTCAGATAAGGTAGAAGAGTAAAAAGAGGTAACAGACACGCAGCATGTGAATATGACATCGTGAAAATATAACGGAAATATTGAACTCTATAAAAACTACTAAACCAGTGAAAAATAGTGTTTTAATATATGGTCTGTTCGCTTTGCACTTTTTGCATTCAGTAGCTTCGCTTTTTTTCTTTTCAACGCTCAAATATTTATCTTGTATTAAAAGCAAAAATTTTTAGAGATTTTAAGTAACGTGTACAGATCTATCTAGATATCGCTTCCGAAACGATTGAAATAATATTTTTAATTATCCGTAAATGTTTTATGATTTATTATTTTATGTTTTATTATTTATCGTATTTAATTGTGATTACACACATTAATTATACATCAATTCAGTTTGAAATTGCGTTTAAACTTTGAGATTGAAGATTAAAGATTGAAGACTAAAAATGATTTTGGCGCTCAATTATATGGATATGAATATGTATATAAATCACACCAAAATATTATTTAAGCATTAAGATCCATCTCAATCTGACAAGGCTTTTTCATTACTTATTGTGTATTCATATTGCGATCTCATCATACTTCGTTTATAAATTTTTAGTGCCACAAATATATAATTTTTAAATAAATGTTAATATGGCTCAATTAGAATAAATCAATAAATAAAAGAAGGGCAACGAGCCAATTATAATGTAAGATCTTTAATAAACGTATATATACAAACGTTTCGACACCGATCGGGTCATTTTCAATGTAAAATAACAAACACTCTTACATACATTATCAGAAAATTCGGTCAAATTATATTGTCCATTTTATGAATACAACTAATTTTTCACTGGACAATATAATTTGACCGAATTTTCTGATAATGTATGTAAGAGTGTTTGTTATTTTACATTGAAAATGACCCGATCGGTGTCGAAACGTTTGTATATATACGTTTATAAAAGATCTTACATTATAATTGGCTCGTTGCCCTTCTTTTATTTATTGATATAATTTTTATTTATTATTAATTGCTTATCATGCAAGTTAATATTAAATTTAAAAGAAATGAGTGCAATGTAATGTGCAAAACGGATATTATCCTGCCATGAACACTAAATCGCCATATAAAAAGAAAGGCAGAAATGTGCAAACTTTTTAAAAAGTCATTTACGAAGAATCGTCTAAGATAGAAAGTAGTTTTATGCTTCGCATTTATTCAATTTTTTATATGTGAGTAATGCATTTGCAGTGCGGCGTTTCTCTTGTGCATTTGTAAACTTTAAGGGCCGATTTATAATAGGCCGTAACTGTTAACTTAGGCCGGTGCTATAAAAATTTGAAGATAGAAAACTCGTACTATCGTTTATAATTGTCGGCAAAAATCTGTTGATTTTGACCGTAATCAAAAAGTTGACTCAACTTTATCTTTACCGGCCACGGAAAAGTACGGAAAAAATACGAAACCAACTTTTAGGCACCGGCCTAAGTTAACGGTTACGGCCTATTATAAACCGGCTTTTAAGAGCTATCGCGAATAAAATAATGTAGCTTCGTATGCACAGCATGAGACGTCTAGATCAATGAGTATATGTTATGTAAATCAATATAGCAACTTTATGGTGGATGCTCATTGGTCCAGACGATCTTATGCTATGCATTTGCTATGTCGTTTTATGTGCAGTAGACCTTACGATCGATAAAATTTAATGTAATATGCAAGTCAATAGAATATCGTATATAGGGTGTTCCTGATGTACCGTTAATGGTAGATTCTTGAGATTATTTTGAGATAAAAATCCTAATACCAAAATATTGAAGCTATAGTAGTTCTTAAATGAGAATGATTTAAAGTTAATTAAAACTAAATTTACTCGCTTAAGCATAGCACATTGCACAGTAATGAAGGTGTTTAATAGAATAGAACAGCTCTGGAATTTACTTACAATTTTTAGCTAGATTTTGTGATTCACGCCCATTGTCTCCCCTTTTACCGCTTGCTTGAACAACGAATCGTGACTAATTTTATTAGAAACGCGGTAAATGATCTCAAGAACGTATGTATTGCAAATGTAATGATACAGGTACTATTCCTTCAATTTTAATAGCATCAAAAAAATTTCATAAAAATTTTTTCTTTGATATATTTTTTCGTTGATATTTCACAATTATAATTACATTATATTCATGGTTTACTATGGCCGCGTTTCACTTAACGTTCGCAACGCTCGCGAACATTATTTCATCCTTATCGTTTTCAAATATTAAAGGATGAAATAATGCTCGCAAGCGTTGCAAACGTTAAGTGGAACGCGCTCTATAAAATTATGTAGCAGAGGCGCGCGCGGGTCGCGCGCTTAAAAAGTCTGTATTATACATAGACATCGATCAAGTTCAGCCATTGCTCCAGCACTCCTCTTAATTTCGTAATAAAAAATTTGTAATCCATAAAGCTAGTATGAAAATTTTTATTGCACTAATTCGTGGTAATTGCCGTCGCTCCATCATCCCTTAATTAGTTAACTTTAAACCTTTTATAAACAACGGTAATTAAATAAAATTAAATAAAACTTCAACATTTTGGTATGAGGATTTTCACCTTGAAATAATCCCAGTGCAAGGAGAACAAGAAAATCGATGTTAATGTCATATTGACTTTATAGGTTTATGTCATTTTTTGTTATGATTCAGTCAATATGATATCATTTTGATTTTCTTGTTTTTCTTAGAAAGGGATTATTTCCGGATGAAAATCCTAATATGAAAATATTGAAGCTACTGTTAGTTTTTAAATGAGAAAAATTTAAAGTTAACTATAAATTAAGGAGATGCTGGAACGACAGCAATTACCACGATTTAAAGTGTAACCAAAATTGTCAAACTGACTTTACGGATTACAAAATTTTCCTTGGAAGGTATCTATTATTAACGATTATCATGGTAATAATATAATATAATATCATGTATGTTGTAAATTTGTATAAAAAATTTATGTCCACCAATGTTTCAATATTGCTGTTCGATTAAGTTCAACACGGTATGGAATTTCAATTTCGAGTCTATAATTTAGTGATGCACCTACATGCAAAATTCTATTTTTCAATACGAGATTATATTACCGATAGACGAGACGTACCTCATCGATCTACTTTATTTTATACAGGTTGACATACAATTAACTATTATCAGCGATAACTTGTCACGATTGGATTCGTAATTTCCTTAATGGTTGCATTATATGGTGTAATATAGGTTCACGCATGTCACATACAGGATGAATGCGGGCAAAAACGGGAATCATTAAGTGTACTAGAATATAATGCAAGCGATTATAGTACCTCTTCATCTAGCGTTTTCCGCCATCCTTTTACCTTTTTCTGTACAATTAATGCTTACCATAATGATAATGAAAGTGTTGAGTTAACGTTTCTTCATTTTTGTCCTTATTCATGCCATGCACATAGAGGATATCACATGAAATAGGATAGCGAGACTAATGAATTTCGCGCCTGTAAGGAGAAAGTGGGATCGATCAAATAGGTCAGTCTTGTTTCGCTATAATATCATCGAGACTTTACCCATCGTAAATATTTTGGTCCCGATAGTTGCGCGATTAGCATTGGCAGTACGCATTTCACGATCGTCTCAAGGGGTTGCGCTATAACAAGGATCAATTTTTTTAGGCAGATGAGAAATTTTACGAGAGTCAAATCTATCATTTCACCGCGCCAATTGAGATTATTCGCGCAACATTTCGACACACACAATCGGAAAACTGTAGTTTGGAAGACATTTGTCACGAATGTTGCAAACGTAGGTTACATTTTTGCACGAGAGAAATTTATCGCGTTGTATGAACATTGTAATAATCTGAAATCTGTCACGCATACAACGAAACAGAAAACAACAAACTCCTACGAAAATTATGAAAATATATTATACATACGTTTTTAAATGTCTGTTTATGTTAGCTACATTTTTCCGCATTTAGAATAAAATTGTTAAGAAAGGAAAGAATAAAAATTTTAATAGAATACAACGAGTGTATAGATTTTCTTTTAATTTTATTTAAATTTATTTAATTTTGTTTTAATAAACAATTTTATAAATAAACAATTTTAGACTTTTACAGTTTTTCTATAAAGATAGTATTTGAGAAAAAAATTATTGAAAATCAATATTTGACAATTTTTAGTACTTAATATCTTGTTAACTATTGCGAAAATTGTAAAATGGTACAGGACTTTTTGACTCAGTTTAGTCCGCTCTATCTGCCCACGAGCAGTAAATTACGGGACATCCTGTAGGAACTTTTAGAATTTGTCAAAAGACAATTGCTATGAATCTGAAAAGTAAACTTAGAATTTAAAATAGCCCTTTAAATAAAAAATCTTTTTATTTTTTTAATTTCTCTTTCTCTTTATTTGTTAATTATAAGAAAGAAGTTAATGGCTTTATACGAGATATAAAATAATGCAGAAACAATTTATAAAAAGGAATCTTAAAATAAGAGAAAGATTAATTTTTTCATGAAAGAAATCACAGATAAAAATTTAAAACATGTATAAAATTTAGTGAATATATTTAAAACTTATTTCTTCGAATATCCGCACTTGTTGCTTATATTTTCGGGATGGAAAAATACATAGATGAAAGATTTTCTCAAATTGACCTCTATTTGCCTAAATAGGATTTTCTTGAAATATCTATTTGAGAGAATCGCCATTTGTAACACTGCATCAAATTTATGTGACAATCCTATTTGGAACATCCCATAATCGTATAGAATAAATGAGCTTTGAGGTTTCTATTAAAATATGCAAATACGTAAATATTGTATTAACACCGCTTTGTCATGCTGTCTATTATTTCTGAGGCACTTCTAAATTTTCATAGTAAATCTCCAAATTTCTTAATCCATGTAAAATAGTTTCATAACAAGTTTAATTTAAGTTTGCATTCAGCGTAATATGCTAGGATTCAATGAAAGTTTCACAAGCGTACAAACATATGAAGCTTGTTTGTAACTATTCCAGTCGAACTTTCAGCTAACACAATTCGGAATAAATCTTTATCGATCGACGTTTATGAAGCGTTAGCATGTTCTCCGGTCGTAGTATCTAATAGCACTTTTAAAACTGCCAATTCGGTAAAGCTTTCTTTGTGAGAATTTATAAACACTTATTTGTATTTGAATATTAGATGTAGTGAATGAAAGCATTGCGAAAAAGATAAGTTTCGGCTTGCTGGTGCGAATTCTGCGCAGTTGAATGCTATTTCACAATGGCAATTATGATGGATAACAATTGTATACATAATTTGACATTTTTATTATCATATTGTTTAATAGCTCAATGAAAATTAAATCTTGTAACGTCCGCGCGCATTCGAGAAATTTGCTTGGAATAAAAAACGTGAATTTTCCGTGAATTTTTTCTTCCAGCACAGCACTTTTGGAAGCGAATTTAAAGATATGTTTATAATAATTTTCTTATTCTTTATTTTAATTTTCTTAAAGAAGCATACGCAAGAAATCTGAAATTAAACTTTTACAAAATTAAAATACTTATAATGACACTTTTTCCAGCTACAGCTGTTAAAAGGATGGAAAAGGACACATGGGAGTTGTCTTATTACATTTCGTGAAAAGACACCGAAGATACATTAGAATACGAAGATGCTGTAAAATATTTACTAATATGAGAAAAGTAATATAAGATCACAATGTGTGCTTTGCTCTTTGTTGAGAAATTCTTTTCTCAGATTTGATACATCTTCTTTCAAACTTTCATAAATTAATATGAAAATATTTCACCATTGTTTCTTATGCTGTACATTTCTTATGCTGTACTTAATTATTTATTTTATCTAAAACATAAATAACCGCGCTGTTTAAATTATTTTAACTTTCATGATGTATGAAAGCTCTTGACACGCTAGTGCTAAAAACGTGTAGATACTTTAGCGTCTCTTCACGAAATTTAATAAGACAACTCCCACGCGCGCGCGCGCGCGTGTGTGTGTGTGTGTGTGTGCTTTTTCCAACAGCTATGGAAACACTGGCAAAAGTTTTAAAACATTATAAGAGTTTTAATTTTGCAAAAATTTAATTTAAGATTTCTTGCCTATATTTAAAATTAAGATTAACTGCATATATGTAAAATTGAAGAATTGTTCAATATTCAATAAGATTTGCTGAATATTTAAAATTGATTTTAAAAAGATTCTACATCCTCTATTAAGTTTTTGATAAAGCATAAATCAATTTCATATTAGTTTAATATGAAAATTTATATGAAGAGCAAAACACCACGTGTATATTTATTTATATTTAATAATATAAAGTGAAGGGCATGTAAGAGTCAATTTTAAAAACTTAACTTGTAAAAAACAAAATGTTTAATATAGTTCATAAATTAAATATAAGCTATAAATTTAGTAATATTATGTGTTTCGACTTTTTGATTGAGCCTTTTTGATTTAGATGAATAAAAAATAACGCAGGGAAGAACATGAAGTGTATGAGTTAGATAAGGCTCGATGAATAATATGTAAAGAGACAGAAATTGCTCGCAAGCGGTTGGAAGACCGATTGTTGGAAATTTCCGCATGTTATGCCATACAATTATCCTTCGCACTGTATGGTCATTTGGAACATCCGGAAATTTCTAACAACCGGTCTTCCAACCGTTTGTGAGCAATTTCTGTCTCTCTACATATTATTCATCAGGCCTTATCTAACACTTCATGTTACTATTTCTATACACTTCATGTTCTTCCCTGCGTTATTTTTTATTCATTTAAATCAAAAAGGCTCAATCAAAAAGTCGAAACACATAATATTACTAAATTTATAGCTTATATTTAATTTATAAACTATAATATTAAACATTTTGTTTTTCACACGTTAAGTTCTTAAAATTGACTTTTATATGCCCTTCACTTTCTTTATATTATTATTTGATATTGAGAGTTTTTTAATTCTACTAATTTATTTATAATTAACTCGTTAGTGGTTTGTTACTTAAAACAGAACCAGATTTCTCTACGGTCTATGTGCACCTGTACTTAACAGTTTAAAATACAGCCGATGATTGTAGTAAATGGAGATTCATTAAAGGCTCATTGATTTTGTTAAGTGCAGAAAATCGATCGATTCAACTCTTTCGACTTCAAAGTAGAAATTAATCTATATGGAAACTCATTGCGGTAACAAAAATAAACGGTATATTTCATTTGATAGACTAAAATTACTATACTTTAGTGCGACGTTAACATATTTTTCTCATCGAATCTAATATGTTATACGAAAATTTATGTGTAGGGGAAAGTGGGGGAACTGTGT